CTACAGCACCATTTCAACTCGAATATCCCGACTGTGCAGGGTTGTCCCAGCTGCGGGATCTTGTAAATACGTTTTTGCTACAGCCAGGTGTGGATAGTTCAAGCCTGAGCACAGAAACGCCCAGACAGCAACCCGAGCACGAATGCGCGCAGATAAGCGATTTGAGCACGATTTGTATATGCTCTCACGCGGTGACGATCTCGTAAACGTCGGATTGAGCGTCAGCTCGAGTAGAATTTGCCCCCAGAGGCGGGCTGAGAAAATGCAAACAATCACCACAATCGCAATATGTATTCAATCTAAATCGGAAATGTAGTCACTTCGATTCGTTCTGGCTCCTAATGAAACTCAGGAGACCTGGGTTGCTGCCGCTGCTGCGGTCCACCACTCTCTGCGAAGCTGCACGAGACTCGGGATGCGGCCCAGAAGTGTGGTCGTCATTGAGATGTGGGCAAGGCTCCGCTGTTGGATGCAACAAGTGAATCGCAAACTTTTTGGTTTCATCTGAAGCAAGCGCGCGCTCAGCCGTGCTAGGAGTGGCTGTGGATCCTATGCTGTCTACTTTCTCCCAAGATTCAACGGCAGTCGACCTGTAACATATATAATGGCCGAGTTTGCGACCACGTGATTGTGGGCGACACAAGACGCCAATCACGCACTCTGAATCGCCAAGTTCGCAGCTTGCCGAGTGCTGCAAGCGGCAGCAAGGCAGGTGATGCTGAAACCAACCGCTAGCTGTTGCAATTAAATATCCATCTCGGTCGTAATAGCTTTCACCATCGCCCTCGTTGCGCAGCGTGTCCTCGTCTTTTTGAAGCTGCTGTGCAATTTGCAAGAATTGCTCTGGAGTTGCGGCAACTTTGCTGCCGCACGAATGCAAACTATTATTAATCGCGTGGCGCAGGCAATCCACGCCTGTCTGAGACTCGACCCTTGCCGGACTTCCCGTTGCTGATGCTTGTGTGTCTTGCTTTTTTTGGGGGGCAGCACCAGTTGCAGCAACTGGCCGTTTCCTCGCTCCTGGCTCTTCCGAGACCGAATCAGCAGCCATTGCAGTAGCTGGTCGCTTCCTGGCCGCTGGAGGCTTCCTGCTTGGTTTCTCGTCCACGCATCAGAGGATGCCTCTGAGTCACCCTCTTCGCCATCAGATGCGGCGCCCCCCTGGTCGTACTGGCCCTGAATGCGCACTTGGCGGCGAAAAACATTGCGGCCACGAGTGAGAACAAGAACGCGATTCGGGTCGGTTCCGATCGATACGTGCGATATGCCCACCCACGCATTGCACCAATTGTGACAATATGCTCTCTCCTGCGGATTCAAGCCTGGCAATCGCAGCTCTTCTTCGGCATATTTAATCCACGCTCGGAGCTTGCGCCATAACTCTCTCATTTTACTGCTCGTTTTTCTGGGGCACCGCCGAATCCGAACAGGGGCGCACTTCAATGTTGTCCAAAAGAACGCTTCTACGTGTGAGAGGGGCGCAAACGGATCCTGTGTTCCAGATGCCCGCTGCTCGTTCAGAAGTAAACTTAAGTACGCCAACGCAACAATTTATCGCCGAGAGGCATCGACCTCCTATGGATGCCTTCGTTCGCCCGCCAGGCGAGCTCTTGCCAGCGTTTGATCATTTCATCTACGCTGGCTTTTCTGCGGAACAAATGCAATTGCGCGCCCGCTGTTTTCAGAATACCGTTGTGCTTCGCCGAGATTACTGCTGACGCCATCCTCTGTCACCCACTCTACGGAATGGTTGACGGTCTTAACGCAAGAATATCTTCGTGGAAGCCCGCTGGATTCTGAGCCTTGATCGCACGTCGCGCGGCGCGATTGCGCAGCAACCGTCCCCAGTATATCCGGGTAAATGTTGCGTTTTTCGTTGCCGCGTGATTTGTTCGAAGAGTTTTGGGAAAGAAACGCCTAACGCCATTATCCCAGCGAAACCCAGTCACAATCTGAAACGGAATAGCATCGATCTTTCTGGGCCGCGCTGGCGCACCGTAGTGCGCGACGCGTCGGTGTGGTCCGAACGTCAGGTCAACAACAGTGTCCATATCTTCAAGGATTGGGCGGTTCATTTCGTACCGAACGACTGGTTCTCGCAGCTCTCTGAATACATCTGAATCCGCCCCGTGGAAGATACTCTCAGCATGGGCTGTAGCAGCCATGGTTGCGCCGTCAAGCCAGTGGCAAACCAATCGAAGATACGTCTTGAGTGAGAATTTATTCTTCTCTAGATCGAAAGGAGTGCCAATGAATGAAACCGATGGCTTGTTGTCGCAACGGGGGCACCGAGCACGTGCTATTGGTTTTGAATGTTTTTTGCTCTGGCTCGACCGAACTCCTGGTCTCAAGACGGGGCCCGACGAATGACATCCGCACATGCCCAATGGCCTAACAATTCCAAAGGATAGTAGGTCCGCGAGGCATCCTGCCTCGCCCCGTCTGTCAACCCGCGTCAAAACCTGCTGCGTCGTCTTGCCCGTGCATGCGTGGAATCCCGGATCTACTTGACCCACTGCTGTTGGAGATTCCCGGTCTGCAAGAGGCGCGGGAAGCGCTGTCGGAGGTGCGACCGGCGATGAGCCCTAAATCGCACCGATTGGTTGTGGAAGTGGTGGTGGAGACTGAATCGCAGGGATTGGCTGTGGGACAACTGCTGACGATGACGACGCGGATGTGCTCAGCATGAATTGCTCCATGTATCCTGGATGACGCGCCAAATGTGTCATTACTTGTGCGTCCGGGACCCATAATTGACAATAGGGACACTGGGAAAATCAATTATTTGACATATCAATTCCCAGACCAGCCGCGGATGCACACAAAAGAAGACAGCAAATGAATACAAGCATGTGGATAAGGAAAGTACAATAAAATATTCAGAATAAGCAAACAGCTGATGCAAACGGCCATGGATGAACGATTCAAGTGGAGCTGAGGAATGGTGTCTGCCCGGCGTTGGCCCGGAATCGTGCTCCCAGGGTTCCCAGGCGCTCCCAAGCGCTCCCAAACGCCCCCAAGAGCTCCCAGGCGCTCCCAAGCGCTCCCAAGCGCTCCCAAGCGCTCCCAGGCGCTCCCAAGCGCTCCCAAGCGCTCCCAGGCGCTCCCAGGCGCTCCTAAGCGCTCCCAGGTGCTCCCAGGCGCTCCCAAGCGCTCCCAAGCGCTCCCAGGCGCTCCCAGGCGCTCCCAGGCGCTCCCAGGCGCTCCCAGGCGCTCCCAGGCGCTCCCAGGCGCTCCCAGGCGCTCCCAGGCGTTCCCAAGCGCTTCCAGGCGCTCCCAGGCGCTCCCAGGCCCCCCAGGCGCTCTCAAGCTTCCCTGGCGCTCCCAAGCTCTCCCAGGCGCTCCCAAGAAGTTCTCCCGGGCGCTCCCAGGCCCTCCCAAGAAGCTCTCCCAGGCGCTCCAGAAGCGCTTCCAAGCGCGCCCAGCCGCTCCTTCCGGAATCAGCTTCAGGGCCCCAAGCAAGTTTACAAGACCCGGTGTCTGGATCAATGGAAGCAGTTTACAAGACTCGACTGGGTCTTGTAAACCTGATCAAAAACTTGTAAACTAACGAAGGACTGGGAAAACGTATGGGAAAGCTGGTTTACAAGACCGAAATTCTTCGTAAACCTCGAAATAGGCAAATCTGCATGCTCCTGGGCGGGGCGGGCCACCAGCTTTCGGGACCCCATCGGCGATGAGGGGGCGATTGGGGGTCGAAGCGTCCCCCCGCCCTGCTGGCCTTTTTTCTGCGTGTTTCTAATTTTTCGCCCCAAATCCCCCCCTGTAGAGGGGGACAGGCCCGACTTGACGTTAGGGGGGGTGGGAAGGTTTCGAGGTTCGGGGTCCGAGGCTGGAGGCTGTCGGGGTTCGAGATGTTCCGAGGCTTCCAGTCGAGACTTTCGGACGCTTGCGTAGGTTCTCGGCGGCTTTCCAGCCTCGGGATGCTCTCCAGCAGCTGCGCCTCGCCGAGGGCGTTGCGTGTGCTCCGGGAGCCCGACCGGCCACGGAAACGCCGAGCTTGGACCCGAAAAAACTGCGGGACGGCGTTTTTTGGGGGGGGATCTGGGCTCAGGCTTGGCATCGCTCGGACGTGTGCATTTTTCCTTCGGCGAGGAACATCGACGAGCATCCTTGATAATATGGGGAAAAAACCACGCGCGAAACCGGAAATGCCCCCCAAGTGCTCAAAACTAGTCAAAAGCATCGTCCCCATACTATTTGTTTTACTGTTCTTGAATATCCCTCCTGTAGAGGGACAGGCCCGACTTCACCCTAACTCGGCTACACGCAAGAGTGACCCTGGATGTTGGTGCGCGGCTTTTTGAGGGTCGCGTGGGGACCAAACCTGGGCGCGCAAGCCGTTGCTCCTGCTTCGCTTTCAGCCATGGGGACCCATCGGCGAAAGGTCACTCTTACGTCTACTCGACTATGGGGAGCGGCCAAGAGGGGGGTGTCCAAGAGGGGGGGGGTGCAACTCATGACCGGCGGCATGTGCGCGGCCCAGCGGGGGCGCCAGGGACGTAATGAAACAAGAAGCGGCGCCATCAAACCAGGAGGAAATCATGGCCCCCGCCATGATATCCCCCCCCCTAGTCATCACCCCCCGCTTTTCCGCCCCCGAGACTAGCGCTGCTCTCGGCCCCCTGCCCCCCCCGGGGATGCCCCCTCCTTGCGCCAGGGTCAGCCAGAGCGGCTCGCTAACCCGGGTCAGCCAGAAGGGGTCTTCGCAGGATCCTGCAGGATCTGGTGCCCTGGCTGACCCCCGTTTGCACTGACCCCCGTCCCGATCGGCTCCCGTCTAGGCCACTCCGGCGAAAGGTCACTCCGGCGAAAGGTCACTCCCGATCGGCCAAAGGCCACTCTGGCGAAAGGTCACCCTTACGTCTAGTCGACTAGCGCTGCCCTCGGCCCCCCCTCCCCCCCGGGGGGATGCCCCCTCCTTGCGCGGGAGGCCGGCGCCCTCCTCGACCTGCCCCGCCCGGGGATGCCCCTCCCTCCGCGGGCAAGGCCGGCGCGCGCCTGCCGCGCGCGGGGCGCGCGGCGGCGGTCTGCGCAGCGCGGGCAGCTTCAGAGAGTCAGGTATGCCGATGTAAGACCACGCTTGACTTTGTAAACTGTACATGCGTAGGTGGGTAAATGTGTCGAACGATGTACATACATATATATATATATATATATATAATATATATGTGTATATATAGATATATGTATACACATGTGCGCATGTAAATACCCGCCACCGTGCCCCTGAGGCACGGCTTGGAGTGTCCTCAGGTCTTTGGCCTCAGCCATCAAGCCTCAGCTACCAATCCTGAGGATTCTTTTGGGGGCCTGGACATCGGCTTGCTAGATTTCTCTTGGGGCCCCTGGCGTGCCCCCTGTGCCCTGTCGCGTCTTCCCGCGCGCGTCTTCCGGGCCCAGCAATGCCAATATGACGGGCCAGGAGGGCCCTAAGAGGCCCCCATAATCGGTCCAGGAGGGCCCCCGATTCGCCGCACAATGGGTGCACGACGCCCAAGGTGGTGGCCGAGACAACGCCCAGGGCGTTCCAAGAGGCCTCCGAGAGCCTCCCCAAGAGGGTCCCGAGAGGCCAGAATCATTGATGTCCCACTGTTCTTTCGGCGGTGGACAAACCTCCCTTTAGTAAACCTCCCTTTTGTGAAAACGGCCTTGGACCGAAACCGACGGACCTGGACCCGCAAAAAATGACGGCCGCAACGCCCTCTCGCGAACCGAAAACGGACAATTCGCTAATCGACGTGTCAGCGTAGGTCTGTCCACCCCCGAATCTTTTCAACGTGTCTGTTGGGTTCTCCACGTTTCGTGTTTCCGACGCTGCATAGCATCCCAAGAGGCCCCAGAGACCGCCCCAGAACGGCCCCAGGGGCCCCCCAAACGACCCCAAGACGTCCCAACAGGGCCCCAAGTCGGCCCCCCCCCAACCCCAAGTACGGCCCAAGAGGGCGGCCCCAAGACGGCCTCACGAGAGGCCGAAACAGAGAGGGAACGCGCACCGAACATCCGAGCCTTCCGCCCCAGGGGGCGCCCAGGAGGCCCCAAGAGGCCCCCAACGAGACCCCCACGAGGCCCAACGAGGTCCCCAAGAAGCCCCAAAGAGTACTCAAGAGGCCCCCTGGCAGCCCCTCAAAAGGGCGCAGAGCTGCCCCCAGGAGGCCGCCGAGAGGCCTGGACGAGATCCCAACGAACATCCAAGATGCCTCATACCCATAAGCCAGGCACGGTGGCGTTATGGGCCGAATGCCACTATACATACATTATAGATATACATGTATACATATACGACCACCCTGCGGGTGATGAGGAGGTTTGGGGGGGGGAGGGGCCCAGCAATGGGCAACAGTGGTGATTGTCGTTCATTTGCAAGGGCGGGGCACTTATACGACCACCCTTCGGATGACAAGGAGGTGAGGGGGGGGGCAACGTCGCACTCGATCGATCTCACCATCGATCTCACTCGATCGATCTCCCTCGATCAATCTCACAATCCATATCACTATCGATCTCACTATCGATGTCACTATCGATCTCACAATCGATCTCACTATCGATCTCACAATCGATCTCACAATCGATCTCGCCATCGATCTCACTATCGATCTCACTGTCGATCTCACGATTGATGTCACTATCGATCTCACGACGGGACACCGACGGGACGCCGCAGGTCACCGACGGGATACCGACGGGACAGCGGCGGGACAGCGGCGGGACAGCGGCGGGACACCGCGCGGCCCCGAACGCCGGGTCGCCAAACATTTGGTCTGGCCGCGCCTCAGCCACAGGAGACTTTCCACTCGCCCGCCCACGCAGCTTCGCCTCGCCCGCACGCGCGGCACGCACGAACACGAAACCGAAATCGATTTCACGGTATGGGGGATCTCCGTTTCACTTCGATCTCACCCATATATATATATAAATAAAAATATATATATATATATATACTAGAACCATCGCGCGCGCTTCGCGCGCGCTCCGGTTGTAGCAGGCCCCAGACCTTGACGAATTCACTGCTCCACTGAAGTAGTGGACAACAGTACACGCATGCCAATCTGCATTACGAAAGGCCTTCGAAGAAAATGGTTGTACAGGGGGGCGGAGGCCGTATGAATCGGGGTCCCAGAAGGCCTTCTGGGAGCATGGGTTTGGGGGCGTCTTGGGGAGCCTGTTCGGGCGTGCCGTCGTCGTCGTCGTCGTCGTCGTCGTCGTCGTCGTCGTCGTCGTCGTCATGTCGTCGCCTATTGGGGCGCGCCGTCGTCGTCGTCGTCGTCGTCGTCGTCGTCGTCGTCGGTTCAAGAGGGCACTTGGGGCAACTTTGTGCGAAACGATCTGCGGAGGGCCGCGAGAAGGCGATCAGTTTTATGTTCCCAATCACCTTCCCAGACAGCTCTCCTGTAGCATGATGGTACTTCGAAGCCTCCGGAGACTCGCGGGCCCATGATACACCATGTCCCCGGAAGGCTTTCTGGGGACATGGTTTGTTGGGGTGTGTTGGGGGGTCTCTTCGGGCCCATGATGAACCATGTCCCTGGAAGGTATTCGTGGGGCTTCGTGGGAGCCTCTTGGTGGCCTCCAGGGGCCCACAGGCGGCCTCTAGGGCCAGAGACCTAGAAATATCGGTTGACGGTCCCCCTCTGGGCCCTCTCTTGGGGAGCTCTTGGGGCACACTTGGGTTGTCACTGGGAAGCCTCCTGGGCCGCCTTGGGGCCCTCTTCGGGGCCTCGTGGCCCGTCTTGGAGCGAACTGAAGGGCCTCTGAGCGAGGCCATGAGGGAGCGCTGGGAACCGGGGAAAGAGTGAACGCCTAAATCCTTCACAATCCATCGGAAAATTAGTGAACCTTGCCTCCCAGGGCTCTTTGGGAGCCTCTTGAGTCCGTCCTGGAGCGTGTTGGAGTCCTCGTCGGTCGTCTTGAGGGCAACTTAACTTGGGCGTCTTCGGAGCCTTTTGGGACCGTCTAGGGCCCTCTCGGGACCTCCATTCGCATGTCGTGGCCTGCTTCGGGGCGGGCCCGGGCCGCCTCGGGACACCTCTGGGCCTTCTCTTGGCGCGCTCTTGGGGCACACTTGGGTTGTCCGGGGAGCATCCTGGGCCGTCTTGGGGCCCTCGTCGGGGCCTCGTGGCCCGTCTCTTGGAGCGATCTGATGGGTCTCCGAGGCCGTGATCGTCCACGCCCTGCGCGCTCGTCACCGGGAGTCTCGCGGCATGCTGCCCGGGAGAGGACACGCTGGCCTCGGCCCTGGAAGGCGCGCCCTCGGGCCCCAGGGAGGGACCTCGGGCCAGGCGAAAGGGGGGGGCAGCAAAGGGGGGGTTCGAGAATCAGCTCGCGCAGCTGATTTTCCCAGCGCCTCCCGGCGCCAGAGGCGGCCACGTATCGAGGAATGGGCCCCTCGGTGGGGCCGAAGCCAGCTGCATGCAGCAGATTTCGTAACCCCCCCTTTCCCAATCCCCCCCTTTCGTCCGGCCCGAAAGGAGTCGGGACCGCTGGGGCCGCGCACTGAACAACTCATGTCGTCGGGTGTCTGGGAACGCGTCCCTGCCATGGACAGTGCCTCCGAACACGTCCGAGACCCTCTGCCTCCCCCCGAGGCTCCCCACGTTGAGCGCGCAGCGCGCGCGGATTCGGAACAGTCTGGAACGCAGTGCGCGGCTCGGAAGTCACCTGGTCTTCTGAGAGGTTCAGAGGTTGCCTAATCCTTCCCCGAAGACGCAGAAACAACCCTCAGAGGCGCGAGGGCTTCTGAGAAGCCCTGCCGACTTCTGAGAAGGCTTTCTCCTTCCCATCGCTCGCCGACGAAGTGCTCTGTATCATCATGCAATAGTCCAATGTTCCTGGTGATGCCAAAAGGTACCGATACCGCTACTCCCCAGACCTCTCCTGGGGTGCGTTCTGACCATCATTTCGATGCGATTCCAGCGGTGGCGACGAGGGCCTCCCAAGAGGCCCAAAAAGGGCGAAACGGGCGGAGGGGGGCGGCATGGGTACCTTGTCCCCCGAATCTCAGGCGCAGTGATTCTGCATCAGAGTACGGTCGTCGATGTCTCGGGCAGCGATGGGGCGTCGAGATCTACACCTGTGGATGCCATTACAGTGGACACTCTAACAGTCCTACCATTGAATTGAACATGTCACTGACATGTTTCACGCATGTTTAAACTGATGGCGTACTCAGGTTTTGAACATGTGGCTACATTTTGCACGCATGGCTTGTGTATTTCTCAAACACATGGAACCGATTTGGCAACATGTTTCCTCTGCATTGATCGTCTTCCACAAATCTATCGGGGAGACGTCAGACTCGGGCTCGGTGGACTCGAATCGGCCTGACGGGGCCATCATGAAAATGACGCGACCAACACTGAAAAATTTGACGCGAACTCCCGTCGCAGACATCCCACGGAAACTGGACCGTCAAAATCCAGGACGCGCTCGTCAAAAAAACGTCGGGGATCTTCTGACCCAGGTCAATCCAGACCCGGGTCAGTCAGGCCTTGCAGAATCCCGCAAGATCCTGCACCCAAACCCATGTCAATGCGAAGGATCCTGCAAGATCCTGCAGGATCCTGCTCCCAAACCCGAGTCCATGCGAGCCTGGCCCTGCAAGATCCTGCAAGATCGGGCGCTCTGGCTGACCCCCGTTTGCATTGACCCCCGTCTGTTGAGCGCCGAAAGCGTCGGCAAACCCAGGCTCCGGCTTACTCGAGCCTTGCGTTTCCCCCAATCTTCGGGAGCGGCCAAGAAGGGGGTGTCCAAGAGGGGGGGGTGCAAATCATGACCGGCGGCATGTGCGCGGCCCAGCGGGGGGGCCAGGGACGTAATGAAACCAGAAGAGGCGCCATGAAATCTGGGGAAATATCATGGCCCGCGCCATGATATCCCCCCCCCCCCCCCCTAGTCATCACCCCCCTCTTTGCCGCCGCCGAACTCTGCACACGTCCGCGGCCCCTGGCCGGGCCCCGGGCCCAGGAGCGG